TTGTCGCCCAATACTTAAGAAATTCTATGACATTATTAGGGCAAGGAGTTATGTAACATTTAGCATTTAATAAAATGTTTTCAAATTGGAAAAGACAAGAGTTCATTATAAATCCTATAGTTAGATAATTTTCTTTTAAAAAATTATCATAGGATCAAAACTTAGAACTGGAAAGTAGTCTAACTCCTTTATCTAACAGATGGGAAAAGTAGTGCCCAAGTAGATTAAGTGACTTTTGACAGTTACAGAGGAAGTAACATTAGATATAAGATTGGAACCCATTCCTCTGACTCCAGAATCAGTGCTCTTTTGACTGTACCATGTTGCCATATTTAAGGTCATAATCTGATTAGCCTATTATATAGAGAAGGTCTAAAGCAGAGGTCCCCAAACTTATTTGGCCTACTGCCCCTTTTTCAAAAAAATTACTCAGTGCCCCCCTGGAAATCTACTTTCTTTAACCCTTTAATGTTTTTTTTAAATTTGCATCATTTAAAAAAATGAAATATTATTTTTAAAAAATAACATCTTAAATTTAATAATTTATTGTATATTTGTGAAGTTTTTCCTGCATTGAAATTTTGATGATGCAATATTGCATCATATAACCATATAGTATATTGTAAACAAGTTATTACAAACACACATTCCTGCCAATGCACGCTGCACTTCCCAACAATGCATGGCACACTCACCTGCCAATACTGGTTTGTTAAGACCTGTTGGCAGACTTGACCATAGATGGGTTATAATTTGCATTGTGTGTATTTATTTGGAAAATAATGTAATCACTACGACTTTAACTCTTTTACACAACAGATGAAACGTGTACAAATGCTTTTTTTCAAAATTTTCTTCTCTTCTTTCCTTATGCTTCCAGTGCCCCCTTATTCTTATTCAATGCCCCCACAATTGCACCCGAGGCTACTACTCACCCCTTGGATCATTCCAGTGCCCCACAGGGGGTGTTATTGCCCACTTTGGGAACCTATAAGGAACAAAATCAATAACCCCCTTTTGTAGTTGAATAGTCGAGAAGTCCCAGAAGTTGAACTGGAGACTTCAACTATATCTTAGTTTTTATTAAATGTTATCTTAAACCAGATTTGCTTAGATAAAAATAACCAGATAATTTCTAGATGCTGTGCACTAATTTATCTCTTACTGTGTCAAAGAGAAGTTTTTCATTGTTTTTATTGGTTCAACATCAGATTATTTTTTGAAATTTCTGATGACTTCAAAATTCAAAAGAGTGCTCTTTATAGGGAATAGGTGGCATAGGCTAAAGTGCCCTTTTAGAGTTAAAAGCTCATGCAAATGCACATATGGCCTCTAACTAGCTGTGGGACCATGGGTAAATGACTCAACCCTCAAGTCCCGGTACTTATTTTATAAGTTAATGATGGTTGGCTTGGTGGAGCTTTTTCTAAACCAGTAATTCTCTACATTGAGAAAATCATTCCTTATCTACTATTCATTCACAGGTAAATAGCTAGGAAATGTGAAAGTGATCAGACAGGTACTCTTTTGAGCATCTCTTTCTATGCCATTTTAAGTTCTGTTATGTTAGAATTTTTATTATTTTAGATAAAATTTATGAATGAATTAATCCTTCAGTCTTACTCTCTAAAACTCTCTCTATATGTGCATTTGTGTGTGTGTATATATGTATGTACAACTTCTAGATTGCTATTAGCACTTCAGAGAAATTCTCATATAGAAACCACTACAATTTAAATAATAGGATCATAGATTTAGAAGCTGAAGGGACTTTTGGGGTCATCCAATCCAGCTTCCTTATGCTTTTATAATTATAAAATGACATGTGGCTTCATTAATTTTTTAAGCCCATTGTCTTTCCATCATTTAAAGAAGAATTGTCTATGAAGGTGGGAAATGGGAGGAAAGAAGGGATAATGCAAAAATTAAAAAAATGTCTCAAGAAATCAAAGAACAATACTATGATTTCCATGTACCCAACATAATTCCACGTGCCTTGACATCAACAGAAACATAATGCTAAGTTTCCACTGACACCAGGTGGATGACTTTGAAAAAACACTTTTCTATGTTTAAAAAGAGTCTTGTTTAAATGTTTTCTCTTTTCTGTACTTCCAATATAGCAGTAGTGGTGACATTTTCTAATAATAACAATAACAACAACGACAACCATAACTAGTATTCATATCGTGCTTTAAGGTTTATAAGAACTTACAAATAGTATCTTTTTTAATCCTCACAACCCTGAGAGGTAGATGCTATTACTAATCACGTTTTAGAGATGAGGAAACCAAGTCAGACAGGGGGTAAGTGACTTGTCCAGGATCACACAGCTACAAAGTATGTGTAGCTGAGTTTGAACTCAGGTCTTCCAAACTTTCACCTAGAATACCTGTTAGGAGCTAATTTACTTCTGGAAGTTCTGCAATAGTGTACTTTCCATGGGCTACTGTGGAGATGATATTGTTGCCCTTCCCCCACACCTCCCATGGAAACATAAGAAATTAAATAGGAATTAAATGTTGGGGAGAGGGAAGGGCTAATCCTAAACTTTCTGCACGATTTTGGGCAAATCACCTAACTTCTTTGGGTTTCTATTTCCCTTGCCTATATGAGTTAGACTAGATGTTCTCTTTTTCTCTAAGGTGCCTTTCAGCTCTAGAATAAATTTCATGATTCTGTAAATCCACTAGGGAAAACTAAAAAAAAAAGAAATTCACTCAAATCCTTCTGTGATAAAGAGCTGAAATATGTCCCACAGCTATTGTAGCAATTTAAACCATTTTGGAGGATTAGGGTGTCCTCTGTTTTTTTAATCTGTTGACCCAAATATGTAGATTTTATAACAGCCACAGACATACGTAATTCATTTACAACTAAGAAACAGGGACTGCCCATCACATTCTCCCTGGATTAACAAACTGCATGCATATTTTAGATCAGGGTTTCTTCAGATGATCTTTTATACCCATGAGGTATACAAACTACAAGGAACAGCATTAAAATAAACTATTCCAAATGATTAATCTTTTCCAATGTCCAATTGGGTGGCCTAAAATAGCAAAACTTTGGTACAACTGATTAAATACAACAAGAAATCCTGTGGATTGAAAGACCTCTGTTTTCTTTATTTATGTGACACTCACCATACAGAAGGAATTGATTATGTGCTAAAGAAAGAAAACTAACCTCTTCATGGGTCTTTTGTTCTGCTATCAATCAAAATTTCCTTTCAGCTGCCCATAAATATTCCAAGCCACCCACCAAAAAACAAAACACATACTCACACACACACACATCACACATCTAGGAGCATGGAAGAAGAAAGAAAGGCTTTCTATAACTGGGTTCAAAGAATTTCCTTTAGTTTCTAATTCAAATATACCGACCACCTCTTCAAATTTTAGCTGCTCTGGGTTAAGGAGAGGACAAAACCCTAACAATAAGACAAGTCAGAGTCAGGGGTCTAATTTTGTCTCTGTTATTATTAATTCACTCTGTAACCTTGGATAGGTCACTTCTCTCTGAGTATCAGCTTCTTCATCTATTTCCTCTGAAAGTATCACTGGGTTTTATCATACTGGAACATTCTCAGAGAGTTTAAAATGCTGTGCAATTGAAAGGTGCTATCATCACAATATTTTAATTTCATCCTCTATAAATATTCTTTTTTTAGTAATGGAATATTTAGAAGAAAAATGTTGGAAGTCTCACAATGATGCAACATGGTATAATGCTCATATTACATTTGTAGTTGGAACACTCTGATTTGAATCCTGATTCTGTTGTTTACTATCTGTATAATCATGAACAAGTCCTATAGCCTTTCTGAAACTCAATATCTCATCTATAAAAGGTCCTTTCTAGGTGTAAATCTTATAATTCTATGGGCCTGTATCACAAGCCTTCAGGTTTGTTTTATAGTAATAGGACTTTTGACCTCTAAAATCTGCCACCACATTAGCTACAAATCTTTCATGCATTTAATGAATATCTTTTAAAAAAACCTGTTACTGTTTACCTAAATTTGGTTATGCTGGATATTACCTTAATATTAGCTATTATTTATTTAAGCAATTATATTTTGATAAATTCTTCCTAGCACATTAGTTTGGGCAAATAGGTGGTGCATTGGATAGAGTGACAGGCCTGGAGTCAGGAAGACTCATCTTCATGAGTTCAACAATGGCCTTAGATACTTACTAGCTATGTGACCCTGGGCAAGTCACTTAACCCTGTTTGCCTTAGTTTCCTCCTCTGCAAAATGAACTGGAGGAGGAAATGGTAAACCACTCCAATATCTCTACCATGAAAACCCAAAAAGAGGTCACCAAGAGGCTGACACAACTGAAAAACTACTGTACAACAACAAAACACATTAGTTAGTATGCAGTAGAAGTCTTTATTGTTTTAGTTAATTAGCATGCAATGAACATTGGATTGAAGATTTTACTATTTTCACCCATTACTAACTAACAGAGAACTTGAAGTTAAGTTTTCTTAGCTTCCATCTTTTGCAAAGCAATTCAGTCATATTGCTTTTATAGACCATTTGTTTCAGTGAAATAGAATCACTAAAAAAAATTACAAAATTAGAAGGAATCTTACAGATCACTAAGATCTAATCTCTTCATTTTACAGATGAAGGAATTCAGAACCAAATAAATTAGCAAATTAGTTATCCCATAATACATATGAGCCATTTGCTGAGCAAGAATAATATCCCAGACCATTTGAGTTCTAGTAGAATGATTTTTTTTGTTGCATGGCACTGCCTTAAACTCTGATCATCTATGAAAAATTGTGACGCACATAATTGTCCTGCATCAGAGTAGTTCATGTGAATGGTTGTGAACAGCAGTTATCCTCCTTTGGTTAAAATAATTCCAAGTTTTAGAATGTCAAGGATACTGAAAAGTAATTACTTTTCACCTGGATTTTTTCTTGCTTTTGTCACTAAGAGTACTGGGAAAGCTAAAAGCATTTTACTTTTGGCACAGGTTTGGGATGAAAACCTTGCAAAATCAGCGGAGGCTTGGGCTGCCACATGCATTTGGGACCATGGACCTTCTTATTTACTGAGATTTTTGGGCCAAAATCTGTCTGTACGAACTGGAAGGTAGGAGGCAGTTTCACTGATATAATTCATCCACATGAATTTATTGTTTATGGAGCTCAGGCTTGAGCAATACCAGTTGTTGGTCTAAAGAAGATTTTTCATTTTGTTCAACTGTCAATAAATCACTTGAATAGAGCTTAGTGAAGCCAATTTTCCTCTTCATTCTAGAAAGTTACACAGCCTTGTGAGCATAGACTGGCTAAAACCCCTCTCCATCTCAAACCAACCACTAAAATTTTTGTAGTGATCAACCTTACACAACCTTCCTCCCAGACAATCCAGGGAAATTCCTTAGCTGCTGCTGAATCCATACTCATGGCTGTGCAGTACATGAGAAAAGCCCATTTTTAAGGAGAGGAGGTGGAGAATTCAGAGTTGGAAAGAACTATGACAGTATTACCATAGGTGTGAGTCATCACCCCATCTTCTTCCCCTCTTCCCACCCTAGCTCCTGCCAGTTCCTTCCCCCTACATTGACTCTGCATCAACAAATTTGTCCAGCTCTGGAAACACTTGATTACAGCGAGATGATTGTCTATGCCCTCGCAGAAAGTTGTCCAAAATACAACTTTCTTTAGCTTGAGGTAAGGGAGCATGTGAAAAAGAAACAGTTCACTCTTAACAGAGCTTAATTTTCATGTGCTGAAGAACTTAAGAACTTTAAATCTATTCATCCTTAGTTGCCTACACATCCTCAATGAAGGTTCTACTTCAGTGTCTTCTCAGACCTTGGAGGTGAGGAGCCTAGGCTCTCTCTCAAAGGTAATATCATTAGACTACATATTCTGGCTGATTTAACCACACTGGGAAAACTCCAAACAGAGCCCTGACTGGGGGCAAACCATCCATCTTATCCAAGTTCAAGAAGTTCATTTAAAGAAACTTGGTATCTAGGTGATTTTTTTGTTTTGATTTTGATTTTTTGCTGTGAAAATCCAGGAAATTTTGTTAATGGATCTCATTTCTGTATACTCCCCTTCACATTTATCAGTGATTGTGGCAAGGGGCATAAAAGGAGGCAGAGGGTACAAAAATACCACAAAGTTTTTAGTCAATGAAGAGTTAATTTAATTGTTGGTTATCTTAATATTCATCTCTATCTAAAAACCTTTGAGTTAGAAGGAGAAGCTGATTCCTTTCATATTGATACTCTTAAGGAAACCAGAAGACATAAAAAACTGAAGCTGAAACAAAGGTAGTTCACAAGTTCACAATTATTAGCATATAAAAAAGTGCTTGATGTTTATTTAATCCAGAGGCAAAAAGAAATGGGGTACTTGATCACCTTATCCTGCAGTGCTCACAATGACCATATACAAAGAGACGATCTTGGACATAGTCTTAGTTTATGTGCCATATTCATTGCAATGTTCATGGAGTAGAGAAACTCTATGAAGAACTTAACAAGATCCAAACCAAACCAAATCAATATATGCCTTTATACCTTACTATTTCAATGTAAAGTTTGATATAAAGGAATAGTTAACCTCTACAAAATACTTTAAAGTTTTCAAAGCAATATAGATATAGTTATAGTACATATAATATATGTATATGTATATTATATATATATATATATATATATATAGTACATACATATAATGCATTCAATACTTAGTACATATACATATGTACGTATGGTCTCATTTGAGCTTCATAAGAGAGGTAGGTATTATTATTATATCCATTTTATGCAGGAGGAAACTGAAACAAGAGTAAGTTTCCCAGGATCACACAGCAAGCATGCCATATTTGCAGCAAGATTCAAATTCGAGTTTTCCTAATTCCTATCTCAGCACTTTCTCTATTGTGACCCCTATTCACCTAGCTGTCTCCATCTATTACACCAACTCAGAATATAAAAGCAATACTACAAAATATACCTCATTATCAAAAAATGAGAGAGGACCAAAATTTTTAGATTCATTAGAAGCTCCTGCTTATACAGAATCAAGATTTTCTTTAAGAGAGTCAGGAGATATGGGATAAAATGAAAACTTAAAAAAAAACAACAGATAGGAAACTACAGGTTAAAGATATAGCAGCCGTTTCAGAATAAGCTGTTTGCATGTTGTCAAACAAGCATTTTTTTTGGAACAAAGGTCAAAATTAATTTCAAATTTGCATAAAACTTAAGGAGATGTGTGTAATTGCAACAGTCCCAACCCAACCTGGTTAAATAAGTTGTTGACTGAAAAAAAAGACATTAATTCTATTAATAAATTCTAAGAGAAACAGATGCTATAACCAAAAGAGCCATAAAACTACTTCAAGAAACAAACCATTCATCTCATTGTCAACTGAAGAGACATGGAAGCCAAGAGCAACAACTCTTCAGAGGAGAAGCTCCATTTTTTTTTAGAAGTCACCATACAGATAATTAAATGTGTGAGAAAAAAAAAAAACTAGCCTTTAAGAAAATAAATGTGATATTCATCTAAGTTAAATCATCTTGTTAGCATACATAGTTGAAAGGAAATATATGTAGAAGTAATTTAATTTTATCATTTATGTACCAAGCACTGTATTACCATTGATGCCTTGAGCATGAGAAACAGCATAAAAGATATTTCATAGAATATAGATTTAGAGGTAGAAGGAATCAGAAGCCATTGAGTCCAACATCTTCATTTTACAGGTTAGAAAACTGAGGCTGGGTGAGGTTAAATGGTCTTCCCAGCGTCAGATTTCAGAGGCAGGATTTGAACTCATGTTTTCATGACTCCAAGCCCAGGCCTCTATTTTTTGTACCATTTAGAGTTGGAAAGGGCTGCAGTGGCCATGTAATTGAACTGAAAGCCGGAAGTAATATCTACTATAAAACTTCTGACAAGTGGTCAGCCAGCCAAAGATATGAAATGAAGGGTAGCCTGTCATCTTTCTAGGCAGTCCATTTTATTATCAAAAAGACCTGAATGTCTAGGAAAAGGGATGCCTCTCATATAGAAAGAACGAGGTATAACAGACACTCCAAGTGATGCATTGGTACTGCTGAGATATTAAAAGAACAAAAGGAAGATAAATAGAGCATTCAGGTGAATTCTCAACAGAAAGACATGGACAAAATTTCACAAAGGAGAAGACATTGAGAGACTGTTATCCATATCAGTGGAGGAAATATGCACACTATTGTGATCATTGTTCTACAAAGTATCTAAGATCATGTAGTCATCTCTCGATTACTAAAGGAAAAAAATAACAATGAAAAACAATATAATAGCAAATAAAAAAGTTTGTTTTTGAAAGACAATCAACCATACATACCAGGAAATGTGAATGGGCTATCCTTTAGGCCTGAGATCCTCCTTGTTTTACTCTATTGTTAGTGAACTAGGGACCCACTAAGCAATGGTGATGAAAGGGGAAAGGATTTAGTTCATCATAAATAATTTTCAAGGTCCCTGATCTTTAATAGATGATCCCAAGCTGACTATATATTCTTCACAAGGAAATTGATCTGTGACATATTCACAGCTTGTTCTGACAGTGGGCCAGGGATGAGGAGCCTATGGCCTCAAGACCACATGTGGCCATCTGGTTCCTTGGGTGTGGCCTTTTGACTGAGTCCAAGTTTTACAGAACAAATCCTTTTTATTAAAGGGAAGTTTGTATTCAGTCAAAGGGCTGCACTTGAGGACCTAGAGGACCATATGTGACCTTAAGGTCACAGGCTCCCCACCCTTGGTAGCCCCAGTTCCTCTCTGTTTCTCCTTCTTCTCTCTCTCTCCTCAATCTCCCTCACTCTCCCCCTCTCTCATTTCCTTTCCTACACCTCCATTTTTCTCTTTTTTATTTTTATATCTAGGTATCGCTCCATTCTCCAATTAGTAAAACCATGGTATGATGAAGTGAAAGACTATGCTTTTCCATATCCTCAAGACTGCAACCCCAGATGCCCTATGAGATGTTATGGACCAATGTGTACACATTATACACAGGTAATCAGAGTTGTCTTAATTTTTAATATAAATTTAAAATATGCTTGCTATTTTCATGTTATTATGTATTTTATTGGATCTTGGACTTCAACAAAAGAATAATTATTTATTTAGATGGTCTGGGCAACTTCCAATCGGATTGGCTGTGCAATCCATACCTGCCAGAACATGAATGTTTGGGGAGCTGTGTGGCAGCGAGCAATTTACTTGGTATGCAACTATGCCCCCAAGTAAGTGTTTAACTTCTTTTCATACACACTTTACAGAGTCCTCATTTATTGTCAGTTACCTGTTCTAATTCTGTTATACCTGGGCCTCCTTTGGCTGTTACACAAGACATGTAATTGATATGCCTGTCTAGCTAGAGAGGAGTGATTTTCCATTGACAATGAATGTAAATCCTTTGAATTTAAACTTATCCTGCCTAAAATATCTGTATTTCTCATTAGCCAAGGTATGGGAAATAGAATAGGAGTGTAGGGTTTGGGGTTATGTAGGTGGGCTTGGAGAAGATAAGAAGAATATATGTTTTTGTAGTCTCTACAGTCCTGAGGCCTGGCTTTGTCCAGATATGTTTGCTGGGATGTGGGATTGTGGAGGCATTAATTTGGCAGAATCTAAGTTAAAGGTCTATCCTACTCTTAGATTTCTCTCATACAAATCATCTATGGTAAAGAAGGATTTATCAACCACCATCCCCTCAAGATCAGGAATTCCAGGCTCTAAAATAGAAAAACTAGTTTGTAATATGAATGTTTTCATAGCATTCTCATCAGTTTCTTTCTTTCTTTTTTTTTTTTAAACTTTTTAGGCAATTGGGGTTTAATGACTTGCCCAGGGTCACACAGTTAGTAAGTGTAAAGTATTTGGTCTGAGACCGGATTTGAACTCAGGTCGCCCTGACTTCAGGGCCAGCACTCTATCCACTGTGCCACCTAGCTGCCCCATCATCAGTTTATTTCTTTAAAAAATTTAGACTTGAAGTTTCATTGGTACAGGGAATTTCTAACAGGGAAACTCTACTAATACAGGTCTGCATGTCTTAGAGGACTGCCTGAAGCAGAGAAAGGTTAAGTGGCATGTCAAGTAATATGTGTCAAAGATGAGACTCAACTTTATTGACAGTTACATGCAGGGGTCTCAGGACAGAGCCATATAGGGAATTTTCCATGTATCTTTCATCCTAGTGTAGATTATGAAAACTAAAAGTTTCCTTATAAAACTGGAATGTTTGGTAATTGTAGCTGTTGAATTCTTCCTTGGGATTTATGGGGAAGAATCTCCAGAAATTATTTTTAATTATTATCAGAAATAAAATAGTTTCCATGGAAGTAAAGTACATTGGAAAGGTAGCTTCTTCATTTATTTTCTTCAACTAGATTTCTGAATCACATGTATTGTATGGACCCCAAAGATAAGTAAGGAGATTTGATCAAGAGGTAGATTTTAAATATGGATAGTTTCTTTTTTTAAAAAAATTTACTGATCTTTTGATTTATATGCAAATAAACCTCTTTCTCCTGGATTCTCCCAACAGTCTTTTGTTGATCTCCCTATGTCTAGTAACTTCCTCTCCAATCAGTCTTTCACACTGTTACCAAATTAACATACCTAATATGCTTATTTGATCATATTACTCCCTTGCTAAAGGAACTTAAATGACTCCCTGTTACATTTAGTATGAAACAATAATTCCTCTTTTTGGCATGCTCTTGCTTATCTCCTCCTCCTCATCTCACATCATTCAGTTGCCTTCTACTTCTATCTTCTCCTTCACCCTATCTCACATGAAGAGTAGATAGCTTTTTTCCATGCCAAGGCTAACCTCCCTACATGAACAAATGGTCCCATTACTTCTTTTCTCCTGAAGATTGCCCCCTCTATCATCCCACTCTCATTAATTTTCAGTCTCTCACAGTCTGCTGGTGACTTTTCTACTGACTATAACAAGCCCATTTCTTCCCCACCTTCAAAAAATAATGTTCCTTTGAGGCATCCATTCCCACTAGTTATCACACCATATCTCTTCTCCCTTTGGTATTTATTTTTTTAAACTTAAATTTATTTATTTTTACTTTTCAACATTCACTTCCATAAGATTTTTAGTTTTAAATTTTCTCCCCCTCCCATTTCTTCCCCACCCTACCCTGGAGATGGTATACAATCTGATACAGGCTCTACATATATATTCATGTTAAGCATATTTTCCCATTAGTCATGACATAAAGAACAATTAGAACTAATGGGAGGAACCGTGATAATGAAGCAATAAAGCAAAACAACAAAGGAAAAGGAGAACAAATAGTATGCTTCCTTCTGCATTCAGATTCCACATTTCTTTCTCTGGGTGTGGATCCCTTTGGTGGTTCAAATCCTTAAGAAAGCTGTCTACAATCAGTGCCTCCACTTTCTTTCATCTCATTCTCTTCTTAGTTCTCTGCAGTCTTGTTTCTGACCTCATCGTTCAGCTGAAATTATTCCCTCTAAAGTTACCAATGATTTCATATTCACCAAATCTTATTCACCAAATTCACCTTTTCTTGATCCTTATCCTTCTTAACTTATCTCCAGCATGTAATACTGTTGATCACCCTCTTCTCCTTGATAATCTCCTCTTTCTAGGTTTTCATGACACTATTTCTATCCTAGTTATCTTCCTACTTATCTGACTACTCTTCAGTATCCTTTTCTGGCTCTCATCCAAGTTGTACCCACTAACTGGATGTATACCAAAGCTCATTCCTGAGCCCTGTTCTTACCTCTATATCATTTCCATTATTGGTCTCATCCACTTTCATGAATTTAATCAGCATCTCTATGCTAAACTTACTTATGTAGACCTAATCTCCCTCATGACCTATCCAGTCACTGAACTCCAAATGCCTATTTGATATCTCAAACTGGATACCCTCTAGCTATCATGAACTCATCATGTACAAAGGTAGATGCAGAAAGCTGAACTTGTTTTCACCCCAAACCCTTCCTTCTTCTAAATGTCTTTATTACTACTAAAGATACTACCATCTTTCCAATCACCCATGTTTGCAGCCTAAGTATTATCTTTGACTCCGTACTCTCTCTTACCCACCATATCCATTCTGTTGCCAAGTTCTATCAGTTATACCTTCATAACATTTCTTTTATATGCCTGCTTCTCTCCTTTGACATAACCACCATCCTGTGCAGGTCCTCACTACCTCATGACAATAGTTTTCTGCCTGAAGTCTCTCCCTTGTCTGCCATTGTTCACTTAATTGGAAAATTGACCTTCCTAAAGTGCAAGTTTAATGAAGTTCACTGCCCTATTTAATGAACTATAGTGGCTCCTTTTCACCTCCAGGATAAAATATAAAATTTTCAATTTATTGTTCAAAGATTTTTGTAATGGCCCCAGAGGTGTGCTGGAGCTAGGTCCTACTGGCTCACTGTTGTTGTTGTTGTTGTTGTTGTTGTTGTTTTCCTTAGTGTGAGAATTTACACCTTGGGAATTGCCAAATGATACAAATGAGGGCTTGATTTATTGTTTTGTTGATTGTCTAGACTTAAGAAAGTGATGGAAAAATGTTAATGCAAAGAGTGTGTTCTTCACACATTTTTACCCTTTTGGAGTTTTAACATTTAACCAATATACCCCTGCCTGGATGCCTCCTGATTTCCTTTCTTCTTTCTTTCTAATTTCCTTATACTTGATTCCTTCCCACATTCTCTTTTGATCTAGTGACAATGACCTCCTTGTCTTTCCTTGCATGAAATGCTCTATATCCAGCCTGGACATTTTCACTGGCTGTCCCCTTTGCCTAGAATTTTCTCCATTTGCTGGAATCCCTGGCTTCCTTCAAGTTCCAGCTAAAATTCCATCTTCTACAAGAAGCCTTTCCTAATCCTCCTTGATAGGAAGCCCTTCCTTCTGTTGATTATTTTAATTTACTTTGTATATGTCTTGATTGTACACAATTATTTGCATGCTGTCTCTTCCATTATACTGGAAGCTCCTTGAAAACAGGCATTTTTTTGTGTGTGTGTTTCCCCAATGCTTAGCACAGTTCTTACCCCACAGTAAGGTGCTTAATAAACATTTGTGACTATTAAAGGATTTATGACATTGTTGGTGTCTTCCAAAGTATGACCCAAACAAACCCATGCTCTCCAACACTTCCAGTTAGGAGAGAGAATGAGAATAAATATGTAGTTAAGTTACTCACCATTATTGTGCATGCCAATAACTATGCTTCAATAAAGATCATAAAATAAAAAGTATAGAAATTGACTGATGATCCTCCATTGATAATTTATATCAGGAAAATTACAAAAAGGAGACTTAGGAAAGGTACAAATTAAACATCAAAATTATTCAAGTCATTTTAGATTGATAGCCTGATATTTAGTGACAATGTCTTTCCTACCATTTAGTATTTATAATAATGCACACAGTACCTAAAAGTTCAGAGAGGACCTGAACTGGAGAGCAAGGGTAGTGGTGGCCATGGGATTGATAAGAAAAGGGGATATACATGAGTGGTAATAGAATCATATATTTAGAACTGGAAAGACTTCAGAGACCATTTAGTCTAACTTCTTCTTGTTACAGGTGAGGAAATTGATATCCACGTATATGAGATGACTTGTCCAAGATCACAGAGGTAGTAATTATCAGAGGCAGGAATTGAATTTAGATTCTCTGACCAAGGGCATCATTCTGTCCAACCTACCATGCTGCTTTTTAAGTGTTGTGAAGGCAAAAACAAGATTTGACAATTAATTGAATATTTATGATTGGTTAAAATAAGGAGTCAAGAACGGTGCCAAAGTTGGAAACCCTGGTAAAGTAGTAGGGCCCTCAAAATTAATGGAGAAGTTGAGCATAGGGAAAAGGGTTTTTTGGAGAATGACCATAATGAGTTTTGGTTTTGACAGTTTCAAATGCATAGAGTTTCAGATGCATACGGGCCAGTTCAAAATATTCAATAAGCAGTTTTAGATGCAAAATTTAACATATTATTACATATTAAATATATCGTACAATTAAATAGATCCATCAAAAGATGAATGTATAAATCAGAAAATCATCTGCATAGAGATAACTGAACACATGAAAGCAAATTTTGTCAAGTGAGGTTATACAGAAAGTAAAGAGAAGAGGGCCCAATAGTATGATGAGAATCAAGATACAGAAAAGGAGACGAAGGAGTGAGGCACCTAGGTAGCTCAGCGCATAGAGCATTGAGCCTAGAATCAGGAAGACTTGATTTCACATTCTGGCTCAGATACTTACTAGTTATGTGACCCTGGACAAGTCATTTAATTTCTATTTGCCTCATTTTTCTCAACAATATGATATGGATAATAATAGCTCCTACCTCTCAGGTTGTTGTGAAGACCCAATGAGAAAGCATCTAGCACAGATGCTGGCATAAAGTATTATTTGTTCAGTCATTTCAGTTGTGTCAGATTCTTCATGACCCATTTGGAGTTTTCTTGACAAAGATACTTCAGTGGTTTGACATTTCCTTTTCCAGTTTACATTTTACAGATAAGGAAACCGAGCCAAGCAGAGTTAAGTGACTTGCCCAGGGTCACATAGCTAGTAAGTGTCTGAGGCCAGATTTGAACTCAAGAATATGAGTCTTTCTGACTCCAGGCCTGGCACTCTATCCACTGCACCACCTATCTGAGCCTCGTGCATATAGTAAAAACTGTTATAAATGTTAGCTATTATTATAAAGTTATCAGTGATGATTAAAGGTTAATATGAGAGCATTAGTATGCCTTTTCATTTTTTCTTTTATTTCATCCATATTTTTAATAAATGCTCCTGGTGAGATCTAGTTTCTTTGGGTCCCACACCAAATTTTCTGCAGATTTGTTTTCTCTGACACCAACCACTTGTTTGCTGTTTTGTGGGAAAATGTGCTTTTACTTTTCCATTTCTATCTATGATATTTTGCAAATTAGTTTATGTTCTAAACTTTTGCCATTGATAAGCATGTCTTTCCCTTTAGCAGAAGATCAATTATTTGTTGACTAAGGCAATTTCTGGGTTTTTTTGGCCCCCTTTACATACTGGCTAAATTTCTGTAGTAAATGGTGATATTGATATCCAATATCTCCTCTCATTGCTTCAACTTCATCTCTTATCATTCATTTCTTGTAATCTGGCTTCTGACTTCATCACTTAGCTGAAACTGTTCACTTCAAAGTTGCCAATGATCTTTTAATTACTAAATCCTATGGCCTTTTCAGTCCTTATACTTCTTAGTCTGTCTTGGCTAAATGGCTCATGAAGTGATATTTATCATTGTCTTTTGGCACACAAAGAAACCTACCATTTCAACTCCTTTATTTTCCTCTCTGAGGAAAAACTGCAAGTTATCCTTCCACTTAGCTATAATTACAATATCATTATGTCTTTTGTTTTCACATTTAAGAAGGGTGTCAATATGAACATGATTCAGTTCATCCACTGATATTTCAACTTCATAATCATTGGACAAAGATTATACATTAAGAGTATTAAAAGCTCAACTAATGTTTTGAATTATATAAGAATAATATGATTGTCACCCTGTAAGTATTATAGAGTTTCCAAAATATGATTTAGTTTTTAATCCACAACATACTAGGTATTTTGCAGCATTTCAAAAATTTCCCATTTTTTTCTTTGTGATTTGCTTTAAATATGCAAAGGAGTGTAGCATAGCCTTGTTCTATATTACTAATTCTAGATTAAGTAGCATTGAATGTAAGATTTGAATGAAAAGGAGAAATCCTTGTGGACTAGTCCAGTCTACTCTGAACACAGTAAATATTGGTGAGAGAGGGATAAGGGAAGGTTCCTTCATTTGAAGTAGTAAGCATAAACAGAAGAATACAGCAAGACTATTCTGCATTGACTTCAAGGAACTTTTGAAATTACCTACTTCAATACCTTCATTTTAAAGAAGAGGAAACAGTGAGTCAGGGACTGAGCCAAGATCAGGCAGAGATTGTGGCAAATTCCAAACTAGACTCAAAGTCACCTTAATCCTAGTTTAGTGCCCTTTTCTCTACACTACATAGTTTCCCATGGCCAAATAAATGGATGAGATCCGTTTTTTGATGACTAAAAAAGTGTGCCAAGAAAAATTTGGATTTGATGTCAACTCTGAGATTCTATGCTTAAAGGAGTAGGGAAATTAAGCATAACACAATGTAAACATATTTACAACAGGATTGATATCAAGAGAATTATGTGGCATTCAATATTTGCTTTATATTAGTTAGCAGGTTCATGTTTAGAATAGCCAGCTTTCACTCAAGTGATTCACTCAAAAATCAATCAATTTAGCCTATCAAGCATTGTGATTAGTAAATTCCCCATTCATGCAAACATTATTTGATACTGTATCTCAATGAACTGTTTCTTTATACATTGAGTCCAGCCATTCTACTAATACATAGACAAATTAGACATCATTTTAGAAAAGAACAAGAACACTTTGTAACAACAAAATAACAGCCATATGACATAGGACATTATCCCTGACTAACTTCACTGGAGTCTATAATGGGTGCCTTCCATTCTCCTCCTCCTCCTCCACCTCCTCCTCCTCCTCCTTCTCTTCCTCCTTCTCCTCTTCCTTCTCCTTCATCTTTCTGTCTGTCTGTCTCTGTCTCTCTGTCTCTCTCTCTCTCTGAGGTGTCTCTGTGTCTCTCTGTGGCCTTGTCTCTGTGACTGGGTCTCTGTCTTTGTCTCTGTCTCTGTCTCCCCCTCCTATAAACTTTCAGCACTTTGGTTTTCTACCTAATTACTCAAATGAAACTGTTCTTTCCAAAGTTACCAATGATTTTTTAGTTGCCAAACTAATGACCTATTCTTTATTCTCCTTCTGCTTGACCTTTGCAGCATTTGACACTATTGACAATAGTCTCTTCCTAGATACTCTCTTCTCTTTGGGTTTTTATAACATTATTCTCTCCTTGTTCTTCTAGTTTCCTGAGTATCCCTTCTGAACTTTTTTTGATAGGTATTTATCCATCTCATAATCATTAACCTTGAATGGTCCACAAAGCTGTGTCTTGGGCCCTCCTCTCTCTTTAATATCTCCATTGGTAATCTGATCAGCTTATATTGATTCAATTATCACCTCTGTGCTCATAATTCTTATACCTACTTATCCAGCTAAACCTTTTCTCATCACCCCGCTTATCTCCCGTCTCCAAATGACTCATTGGACATCTCAGAATGGATAGAGACAGCTTAAACTCAACACATACAGAACTAAGCTCATTATCTTCCCCTCCAAACCTCCTCTTTGAAACTTCCTTTTTTCACTGCTGAGGACCCTACCATCCTCCCAAGTCATCCAGCTGTGCAGACTAGGTATCATTCCCAACTCCTCAAACTCTCTCATCCACCATATTTAATCTTTTGCCAGGTCCTGCCAGTTCTACTTCAACATCTCTCCTGTTCCTCATCTTCTGCCTTTTGATACAGCTGCCATCCCAGTATAGGCTCTCATTATCTCATGCCGACACTATTGCCTTCTGGTTGGTTTCTCTGTTTCACCTCTTCCCATTCCAGTCTATCCTTCACTCAGCTATCAAAGTGACAATCTTAAAATATAGGTCTAATCTTGTCACTCTTCCATTTAGTAAGCTCCAGTGGTTCCCTGTTTCCTCCAGGAATAAATTTAAAATCAAGGTTGTGATCTCTCCTGGCATTCCAGTGATCTGGTACTTTATTACCTGATATATACTCTATGATCTGGTAGAACTGGCCTCCTTTCTGTTCATATGGGATACTCCATCTCACAAATCCTTCCTTTTCATTTGCTGTCATCCATCACTGGCACTTACTCTTTTTTGTCTTTGCCTCCTGACTTCCCTCAAGTCTCATCCCAAATCCTACATTCTGCAAGGAGTTTCTCTCAATAGTACTTACTCAACAGTAGTACTTTCCTTTGGAGGTCACCTCCAATTTACATGTATAAAGTTTGTGCGTCCATAATTATTTATACCTTGCCTCTTACGAGCTACCTGAGGACAGAGATTGTTTTTGCCTGTCTTCCTGTTCCAAGCCCTTATCACAGTACTTAGCACATAGTAAGTGCTTAATAAATGCTTATTGTTGTTGAATGAGCACAACCCCAATGATTCCGAAAGCAAACTAGATTTAAACTCAATGTCTGATCTTATATATATACATAACAGGTAAATGACCATGTTCTTTCACGGAGTACATTTTTTTTGCATTTATGTAGGGGCAACTTAATTTTCAAACTATAGTATAAATACTAAAATTCTATTTTTTCCTTCCTTCTAGGGGAAACTGGATTGGAGAAGCACCATACAAAGTAGGAGTGCCATGCTCAGCTTGTCCTCCCAGTTACGGAGGATCTTGTACTGATAACCTTTGTTTTCCGGGAGTAACATCAAACTACTTATACTGGTTTAAGTAAATTAAAATTTGCCCCATTTCTTTTTCAGTAGGATGGTTTTCTGGGATATCAAAGCTTATAAATTGAATTTTGCACATATTATGCAAAATTTTATAGTAATCATTTTATCTTTTGGTATTCATTTGTATAAATTAGCTTTTGTATAATATAAATTCATTTGACCCTTTGGGAAGTAAAAAGTGTTCGTTCATAATCCCCAGTACTAAGAGAGAATAAGCATAAATTATTTGAAAAGAAAACAACATAATTCCTAATGTGAATATTCTAATTGTTTTAAAAAAAGAATTGAGTAATAATTTATTCATTTCCAAAATGTATTATTCTTAGGCAACAATTTCTTTAAGGATAAGATTGATCTTTTACCAGCAATGAAAATTAATTTATGGTATAGTGTAACATATAAAAGAATATAATTTACTATTGAAATAGAGAAATAAGTTTCAACTTGATTGTAAAATGTGTAAGATGAAGGACATTTTCAGGAGTACTTTCTTATGGTGGCTTATTAGGAAATCTCACAAAATGGCATTTAGCAATATCTGGAACAACTTCATTTCTGTCAGAAAGGCGAAAAAGTAAAATGCTCAAGGGAGTTGGCCTCTTTTGGTTAACAAAAGATAGGATTTCCCCCCAATTACTTCTTAGCAGCAATTAACTCAGACTTTAAAAAAAATTCAAAAAGCAATGTGATACAGTGATTTGCATTCCTAAGCTCGTATTGCCACTGACTGCCTGTGGGGCCCTAGGCAAGCTAATTTCTACACTTGTTTCCTGTAATAACATTATCATTAATACTCCACAGATTCGTGGACTGGGCATGTAATGGCTAAAGCAGTGTGGTTTGAGAGATGCTGAAATCTTCTGCCAATTATTAAAATATAAATTTATAAAAGGGGAAGGGAAGGAAAGAGAGGAATGTTAGCACCTGTTAATGTATCATTAGTAGGCCATTTATCAGATCAGGTGACTAATCCCTTAGGAAACAGGGCTCTAAGGGAGTTGGGACACAGGAATAGTAGGATTTTATGAAGGATATAATGAAGAGATGAATAATCTCTCAAGCACAAGACAGAGGAGAAAGTCACTTGGGAAATTTCTGTGGGAAACCTTGAGATTGTTGGGGCCATTTTGAATATAAAGACTGTATTTATAGAACATTTCCAAAAGGAGAAGCAGGGGATTACAAAGAATGACCTTACCAACTTTATAATTGTGCCTGGGGTGAATGAATCAACCTATTTTGTGAATTAGTGAATCAATCTATTTTATGAATTAATGACACAGTATTCATACACTTTTCATGGAAGCAGTTGTTTTACATGTTTCATTGAGGAAAGATATGTAATCTTTCTATATTTTATTTCTAGTTTGTAAAGCAGGAATGATGATCTTTGGTGCCTATTTCACAGTTTCCTGTGAGGGCAAATAATACCATATTGATAGAGATTTTGTTAACTAAGAGGCAAGAGTAGAGACTATAACTTGAATGTCTATTAAAATTAAAATGTTGCGCTTAAATATTAATGAATACACATTTGGGAATTAAGAAACCAACAGAAATAATTAGGATCATTGCATCTCCAAAGCCTTTGTAAAGACCAAGAAAAAGTTATAAATAATCAAACTATGTGTTCATTAAAACAATTACATTAATTGTCAGACCTATTAGACTAAAGATTATGGGCTATGCATTTTTGAATTACACTCATAGAGTGATGTTTTCCAAAACAACTAGAATTATACACTAATTTATAATTTAGTAACTTTGCTGAAAATTGTATAATGGGTATATTTGTTATTGTAGCTGTTACTTTAAAGAAATTAGTAATATAAAGTGCCTGTGTGAAATATTTTATTTTCCAGGGCTAAAGCTAATGAAAGTATGCTAGTAGCAATTAAATGTATATATATATATATATTTTTTTTTTTGCAACACACAACAATGGTGCTGGAATAAATATATCAGCATATTATATCACACTGGGCATAAGCTAGTTCATAAAAGCAGCTTTCTATAAAATCTGTAGCAAGCATTAAGGTTTTCATTTGAAAATATTTCACTCAAAAGATAGAGTAATGGGTTTATTGTTTATTGAACATTGTTTACCATCTCAGAATTATAGATTATGTCTCCATAATAGCATATCCAACAACAACAAAAAGATTTTTAAAAAGTTAATCAATAGATTCTTTTTCTATACAACTGCAAAGAATCAATATGACTTCACTGGCTTTTGTTATCATTTAAGTGGTAAACTTCCTCAAGGATGGATAGTTGTTTGGGTATTGCATAGACAGAACCACAATATTTCATGTGATATAGATAATCTTGCCTTAATAAGCATTGCAGAGTGTTATAGTGTATTCCTTGGTTAGTAACAGCAAGTGAAATTTTTTGCATGGCCAGTTTGCACAATTCTGCAAGCTAGCAGATATACAGTGATATAAGTCTAGGCACAGAATGCACTTGGAGGCCCCATCCAGCTATGTAAGAGTGGGTAAAATTGTGTGATAGGTTCCATGCACATAAGTGACTCATATGATCAGGTTCAAAGTAATACGTTTTGATTTCATGTACTGTAATGTACTGAACTAGCCTTGCTATTGGGTTGAGCATCCAGATTATTGAATTCAACTTATAATTGAGTCCTAATTTTGGGTAATTTGCATGTGGACAGTGCTTAGCATGTCATGTTTATTACTTAAATGAACCAGCCAGATAATTTGCATGGATATACCTAACCTAACTGTTCCATTTTGAACTATTATTATATTAGGAAGGGACTCATGCTTCGAAGCTGGTCTAATGTCTTACACTGTGTGATAAACCCTTATTTCTACAGATTTTTAGGAGGCAAATTTTGGCTCAAATGAGAGCCTTTATGTGCTACACTGTTCAGGGAGAAGGAAGTTGGGTTCATGACAATGTTGAATAGATTTGAAAATCTGTTAGTGGAATCTAAGCACTGATCTATGAAGGGTCAATTACAGATGTTGAATCCCTAACAGTTTGGTGGGAAATGGTGCTAAAAATTCATTTCAATAAGTACAGCATTTCTGTTATATTTTGGTTCCTTTACAATGAAGATTGTTACTAATTGTAAACAATCAGGCTACATTTTGGTGCTAAATATTCTGGTGCTAAACTGATTGTTAATGCTAGGAGCTTATCTGGGGATCTTTTCCTTCACTGTCCTATTATTGGCTATTTTAAAAATGCAGTACTTAATTAAGGAATCTGACAACAGCAACAGCAAAAATTCATCTTTACCAAGATTAGACAAAATGAATAATATCATGATAGTAATATTTTAAGTATGTTACTTTAAGGAGCAGTCAAGTAAACTTGAGTTTCTTTAATATACAGAGAAGTTCTCCAGAAATATTTCATGTTAAAAACAAGGTTCACTTTATAGTTCTGATTTCCTTCTCCCATAAGTAATACTAAAATTATAAACAAGGGCAAGACATCCTAATACTCTTGCTCCCCAAATCTCATTCTTTTGCCATTATCCAGATTTTAGATTGTCCTCCCATGGAATATTCATTGTCCATCTCAACTCTATGTTATTTAAGCAATAAATGTGAGCACCAAAGTCTTCTTATTGAAGCTATGGGAAATTACTTATTTCAGGAGAAAGAAAAAATAAAAACCATTATTTTATATAGCAAGTCTTAATTGTATTCATATTATGCTTCCCTCCTCCCGCAAAGCTATGTCCCTTCCAAAAGAAGGTAATGCGTTTTCCTAAATATCATTTACCTAATGGCTATCTCTGATTTGCTAACTTTTGTGAGTATTCATTTCATATTTCTGATTAGTAAAATGAGGTTTAATTTACAAAATCCTCAAGGATGAAAGCTAAAGAATCAACATCAGCATTCCATAATAGAAATACAAAAGATTGTTTCACTTTACATATTTTAGGGGAGAATTAACACATATTGGAAAGTTTATTTTTTTCCTTCCATCTCTATCCCCTCTCCCCTTTTGTGGATGGTCTTTCAACGTAACTGCTAGGAAAGGTTTTATCAAGTTCTATAGGAACTATTCACATATACCTAGTTACTGAGTAAGGAAAAGTAACCTATATTAGAATTGCAGGTGTATCTTACAAATCAGCTTTGATTTACTTTCATTTTTGCTATCAAAACTTGATCCAGGTTTTCCCTATAAGTGTGTTAATACGTGGCCATGCATTAAAAAATTAGAAAAAGTATATCTATAACTTTAAGTTCCCAGTTAGTCAATCAATCCACAGCCAGGCAGAAATAATACTTCTTTTGAGATTTCTTGCAAATATTAACAGAGGCTAGCTACCTTTGTAAGTTGTGTATTGGGAGAAAATGCACTCAATGAAAAGGAGGCATTGTATGGGGGAAAGAACTCCAGTTCCTGAGTTTGAGGACCTGCTTCCAAATCCCATCTATTATGTTTATTGCCTGTATAACCTTGGGCAAGTCACCTAGCAACTTTGATTTCTATTTTTTTATGTGGAAATTGGACTAGAGGCTCACTCAGGGCCCTTCCAGCTCTGAAATACTAAAGTAATAAACAAATGTCAAGGGCAAGGCATCCCCTACTACTCTTGCTCCCCAAATTTCATACTTTTGCCATATCCAGATTTTAGTTTTTCCTCCCATAGTATATTCATTTACAATCCAGTAAGTCACCGTAAGAAGCTCACCCAGATTTCTTCATAGTCGTGAAGAAATACTATTACTTTTGATAAGTGTTAGGTTCCAGTAACAGGTTTTTTGGTCCCAAATCCAAGCACCTGTTTCCAGCTTCCAATTTACCAGAAAAACTACAAAATGGAAGTCATAAAATTAGAAAAGTTTAATGTTATTTCACGATTTAAAAAAATCCACCTAGATAAATATACAATGAATTTCTTTTAATTACAGAATCAAATATCTTAATACAAAGAAATTTTAATTCCATCAGCATAATATCTCAAATTTTAATAACTGAATCACATCTCTTTCTTTGATGAACTAAGTATGTCACTAATGGATAAAGTTAAATTCTTCCTGCTTACATGAATTGCTATTAACTTAAAGACATATGAGTAAAAGGTTAGAAGACAAGACAAGTGATGAGAAATTTTGCTTTTCGTTTACTGTTTTAGGAGAGAAAACAATTTTGTCTTGTACAACAATTGAACGCATAATTTGGTTTTATAGATTTAAAACAGCAACCTAGTAGTGAGAAATGCTCTAAAATATTACATATACACACATACATATACATATATGTGTGTATATATGTGTGTGTTTGTGTATTTGTATGTGTATTTGCATACAAGGCATTATGTGAGTTCAAAGCTGTTTCCTCATTAAGTAGGAAAATACACCTCCCTAGACTTGCTCTGCTGCAGGCACTGGTGCCCTCTTGTGGTTATTAAAATGTCCTCAGTAAGGTGCATTCTAGTAAAAATAAAAATGCCGTCTTCCTCAGCACCAAAATATTCCTCCTCAAACCAATACCCATAAATTCCTCAGTCTCAAATTGTTTATTGTACTTGTCTGCTGAATGGTTGAAAGCAAGAATCCTCAAATACAGTTAAACATTGACAGTTTTCATTATTTCCACATTGTTAAGTTACATTTTTTTTCCCCTTTTTAAGCTTTATACTGCTAGAACTGCTATAAGGAAACTGCTATCAGGTCTTCATGTTTGAGCAGTGTGTTTTATTATCCATTATGCACTTATGTCCTACAATGCCAGAAAAATAATTGAACCAATCACTCTTGCTTTTGAATGGACTCCTTTTCATATCAGAAGACAATTTCTGGCAATATTCAGAGTTTTGTTCTATCAAATTACTTAATCACACTTTAACCTAAAATTCATGCAAGTATACTATTTCATTATTGTAACTTATTACATATAATGAACAAATGATACTACCTTTAAATTGTGATAATTTTCTCTTTTGAATAGAGTGATAAATCATAAAAATTTAAATTAGAATTTCACTGTTGGTTAACATTAATGCTGGGCTGTTTTTTTTTAATTCTCCTAAACTAAAAATAATTTTCAATGCAAAGCCCCATTGATTTTTAAAAAGAACTCACACAGAGGTATGAGAATATTTTAGCTACAACGTACAACTGCTACACTTGGATCATATTTTCAAGATAAATATTTAATGACCTACTAGAATTTACTACTTTGAACATAGACTTCAATAGACTTTTGCCTTTATTGCCAAAGTGATGAACTACCTGTGTGACCTTGGACAAGTCATTTAGCTGCTTTGACCTCTATTTCATCATCTGGAAATTGAGGGAGTTGAACTAGAGGCGGACTCAGGTCCCTTCCAGCTCTAGGTCTACAATCCAAGTCATTGAGAGAAGCTCACCCCAGATTTCTTCATATAAGAATGCTACCATTTTCAAGTAGTGTTAGACTCAGGTAACAGATTTTCTTGGTCCCAAATCTAAGCAGCTGTTTCTAGCTTCAGGAGAACCAGGAAGACTGCAAGGAGGTAGTTATTCTATTTTTTTTTTGTCTGGGGCAGGAGGAGGGGGAGGGAGAAAGGAAGGGATCTGGATCACTACTCAATAATTTATCTGCCAAAACATTGTTTTTGGCTGAAACAATTGGCTATTGAGACAGATGCTTTGGGGGCTCAGTTTTCTGGCTAACTGCCTATATAGTCAGAGCTCTGGTATCATGAAGTGTTCAAGGGCTGAGCCCATGAGGCATAGTTTTACTTACACAGTGAAATCTAATTTTAAATGATTTCTTAGTGCTTGTATATTTACTCTCATCACATACAGTATTTTGGAATTGAAATCTTGTGAATCAGAATGTTGTGAAGTCCATATACATACAATATAATTCTTCATACATAAACCAATATTTTTATGTATTTATATGCTTTTGAAGTTCCTGTATCTGTTTTCAAATCTGTTTTTTTAAAGAAAAGTTCTTTGCCTAACACGGATGTTACTATGGATCATAAAACATACCATTTTCATGTGGTTATATGATCCTGAAAGTGTGCATATATATGCATATATATACACACATATATGTGCATATACATACATACATATGTAAGCATTGTGGTATGTCAGTTCCCTTTCTTTCTTCAACCTTAGCTGTTCCAAACCTAAAAATGTAATTCATTGTGAGCCACTTTTTATTACCTTGTCATTTCAATAAAAATTTTAAAATTACTTTTGTCTTTGGTTCAAAGTATGTTGAACATTTCTCTTTATTCTTCTTAAATAGGCTTCAAGATTAAGATTTAGACTATAACAATTTTAAAATTTTTTAAAATTACATTGAAAATGTACTAGTGGCTATACCATCCCCCTGAAATGCAGTTTAGGATTTGGAGTCAGAGAACCTGAGTTCAAATTCCTCTTCTGACACTACTTGTGTGACTTTGGATAAGTCGCCTAACCTCTCACAGCCCCAGTTTCCTCATTTGTACAAATGAATATTTTGGACTAGATTATCTTGTATGTCCCTTCAAGGTATAAATCTAAGATTCGCTTAAATACACAAAATCACTATCTTTAGTCACAATCAACTTTTCAGCAACCAGATACATGGGTACAATGAGTCAGTCAGTGAATAATCATTAATTAGCACATGCCAGGAACTATGCTAAGTACTGGGAATACGATAAATCTTGCACTCAAAGAGCTCACATTCTGATGGCTGCAATCAGTATGTCAATAAATAACAAGGCACATAAAAGGTAATATCAAAAAGAATGGAATTAGCATATGCCAATTGATTTATTCATCATTAGCCAAGCTCCTATGATGGCATGCATAAGTTGGTAGCTGGACTTTTTTTTCCAACATCTCCAAAATAATAACTCATTCAAATGAGATAATAATAAGCTATCTCAAAAGTACCAATATCATACTAATGCTTTCCATTTATTACATCTCATACCACTACATGACTGATCCACTTCCATTTCTAATCATCCTTGTTCTTAGGAATGTCTTTTATTCCACTATCAAGAACAAATTGATGTTGGTAAATATCTATTTGCTTTCATCATCTGTCTTTTTATTGTTGCCCTTTGAGCTTTTTGAATTTTGATTTTTACAAGATTTTGGTGCTTTATGATTTTCAGGTAAACAGCATCAGCTAAATACCAAAAAAATTTTGATGATAAAGAGATGGACTTTTGCACAATTGGCAATCATTGAAAAGGTTATATAATTTCCCAAATGCAATTCAGTTCAACATCATTCCTGCTGCTAATATCTATAGGCATCTCAGTGTACATTTAAAGCTCATACACAAAATGTAGAGAAATTGAACTGATTAAGTCAGTGTGCCATCTTTAAAGAGATTTGCTATAGTCTTGACAATTTGTTAAAAACTCATAGTTATAGGTTGAAAGTTTTCAAGGTGCTTTCCACACAACAACCCTGAGATGTGGGTAGTGAAAATATTATCCCCATTTTATAGATATGGACACTGGCCTGCCCAAGATTGTACAATATTTGTGCCAGATCTGTGATACAGATTTAGGTCTTTCTGATTTCAAGATCTATGTTCTTTCTTATTCCTCACAATGTACGTTTCCATTCAACTTATTTTCTAGTGTGAATGATCATACCAATTTTTCCATGCTTCTGAATTTCACTAAAGATGTCTCGTAGTTTTTAGGGGCTTGATGCAATTAAGATGATGTTATTATACTAATTGGCTTTTAGACATCTTTTTCAAGTTTTTCAGAAGTCTTTACACAGATTATCTTATTTGAGGCTCAAAAATTGTATGAGGTAGTTACTACAGACATTATTATGCCCATTTCACAGATGAGGAAACTGAGTCTAAAAGTTGTAAAATGACTTGCCATGACCACATTTTTTTTGTGTGTGTAGGAAACAGGATTCAAATCAAGGTGTCTAGATCCATCACTATTTCAAACAGAACTCAAATTGAGATGTCTAGGTCCATCACTATTTCCAATAAACCCAAATGCCTTTAGCATTTAATCTAGAAATAGGAGTATTTGTAGAACCCTGACATCAATAAAAAAAAATCCTACCATGATGCTGACCTTAACGAACATAAAACCTATGTGCTTTATGTGTGTTTCTTATAAAGAGCAACTTTTTTTTACTTTTCTTCATAATCCTTTCTCACAACTTTCTACATTTTATAAATGAGTGCATGCCATTGATATACATGAGGATGTTGTTTAAGTTTTCTTTTCCCTGCATCAAATCCTATTAAAATATTTCTCTTTTCCCAATTTTCATGTATGTTTATTTCTTTCTTGACTATATCCACCACTTAAGCTCAGTTCTCCAACTTACTATTCCCTTCTAGTCCTGTTTACTTCACCATACTTCTACCACAATATTTTATCATTTTCATTATTTTAAAGATCTTCACTTGCCTAGCCTAGGTACAATTTAGGCTCATGAGATTCTGTGTCTCCCTCACCACCTAAATCTAAAGGATAAGACTTGGAATCAAGAAGACCTGATTTCAAATGCAGCTTCAGTTACTCACTAGCTCTGAGACTTTGGGTATGTCACTTTACCCTCTGTCTGTCTCACCCTTCTCATCTGTAAAAGGGAGGCACTTACCTCCTAGGATTGTTGTGAGAATAATATGAGAAACTTGTAAAGTACTTTCCCAACATTATAGTATTATATAAATGTTAGCTATTGTTATTATTGTTGTTAAATTAGAATAATAATTCTCCAATAGCACCCTATTACAAGAAACACAAAGTTCTTGCCAGATCCTTCATTTTCCTTCCCTATTGTATGTGGAATTTTTTTAATGCCCCCAATCCATAGTCTTATAGTATGGTTTCCTCATTGACATTTAAATATAATATAACTGGAAAGAATATGGTATCTTTCTTCATTTTAGGATAATAGCCCTTTTGAAGATTTTCCACATACTTTTTCAGAAGCATCCAACTGGGAAAGCAAATAAAATGAGTTATTCAGACAATACAAATAGCATAGGAAGCAGCTTGGTTATCTAGTAGTCTTACATGTATAGTCATACATGTATATTTAAGATTTGGGGAAAATCTAAACCACAGGGTGACACAATTAGTCTTGGGAGCAGGAGGTTGAGAGATCTAACTGTGCAAGACCCTATGGAAACAAATAACTCTGCCAAAGGAGGGCCCCAACGACCTTGCCCTTTTCATTTGCTTTCTGAGAGTAATTGGTGAGTTATTTGAGCAGACATATTTTTTCTGTCTCTAATTATGGATTCCTTAGAATCCTTAATTGTTTTCAAAGGGTGAAATAAAGAAGACTTCAGGGAGAATCCTAAACCCAGATTTATTGCAAAGATTTTTTTGAATAACCCTATTTGGAGGCATTGAGTCAAAGAGAGAAAAAAGCCTCCTGGAATCAGCCTCAGGATCAGATCCAGTTCATGTGAGTCCAGAGATTTTAGGGCATTGGGATCTATCCTGAGTGACCCCCCTGAAAGTCACTTTTTCTCCTTGACTAATCAGGAATATTGTGGAAAGTTTTCATTTCTGTAAGTAACTTAATGAATCATGAAATCCTCTCACTCTGGAAATCAGAATTCCCAAATTCTTGAGTTTGGGCTAAGCCATGAAGCAACTCACAAAGATGCTGCTGCTCAGGAAATCTCTTTTCTCTGGCTCAAGATAGATTCTGGGATCAGGGTACATAGGGAATTTAGAACCTTCCTTCTACAATGGAATATCTGGCTCAGGAACATTGCTCATGAATTACTTTCTTGGGCAGCGTATAAGCATGTGTACTTTCTGCCATGTGCTACAAGTTGCCAGTGAGCTGCTCAACTTCTCCCACCCAAGGGTGGAGGTCAGGGAGGGGCAACAAGGTCTGAGTTCAGGAGGGGGATAGACTTGTGTAAGTCTACTCTGCTACGTGCTGTTGCATCACTGGAAGGCAAAATGAAAGTCAGTATCTCTGTCAGTTAATCATGAGTACCCAGCTTCCTTTTAACAAGGCTCCAGTAGACATTAAAAGTGTCTTCAGATGCCTCCAAATAAAATCCCAAGCTCTGTGATATCCTCAGTTTGGTTGGAGAAGTCATCAAGTTGCTCAGGACTCACCAATTAATACATTTTCTGGTGTTTCTTTATTATTTTTGGAATTTTCATTTTCTTGTTCTTTTTCTCAGTCTTTTCACTATCTTTCCAAAACATAGCCCATGAAGGCTTACCTTCTGAACTTGCCCATATTGAGGACTAGAGGACTTTAAATGGCTATTGAAGGGTTCCTCCTGTGGGAAGAGTTGGAAGAAGGTCCTTCATGATTGCCCACTTGCCTATAGTTAGTTTCAAAGACTTTTTGCCTCAGTAGCCACTGTAACCAACACAATGAGCAAGAATATTGCAATAATATATATTCCATGTGGTGTCCATGGTGGGTGTGAGGATGGGCCGTGGGAATCCGAAAATGGAGATGCATTCTGGAATGGTCATTGAGGATTGTGACTGAGTATTGTGTGGGAGGTCAGGAATGAAGCTATCAGGGAAGCCTTTACTGGCAGTGTTTGTGTTCACTTTTTACTTTGCTGTAGGGGTTACTTGGCAAAAATTTTCTTTCCTTTATTTTCTTTTAATTATTAGTCTTTTTTTGCATTTGGAATATTTATCATTATTTTTGAGGAAAAAAGTTGGCAAAATCTGGCTTCAGTAGCATCTTTTCCTAGGTGATTTTGAAAGTCTATACTTAATCTCTTTTATCCACTAGCACCTTCTGTATTGTCTATATACATCTGGATTTCCCTCATCCTTAAGTATGAATCTGATTTGTAATAATGATCATTTAATCTAGTCATACTCTTAAATCATCATCATTTGTCTCCACCATTTCATATCTAAACTCCAAAAAAGAAAAAATCTATACTTTGCTGTTGTTCAGTCATTTTCAGTCATATCCAATACTTTGTGAACCCATTTGGGCTTCTCTTGGCAGAGATAATGAAGTAGTCTGCTATCTCCTTCTCCAGCTCATTTTACAGATGAAGAAACTGAGCCAAATGTGGTAAAGTGACTTGCCCAGAGTCACACAGCTAGTAAGTGTCTGAGGCCAGGTTTGAATTAGGAGTGTTCCTGATTGTAAACCCAGCACTCTATCCACTGTGCCACTTAACTATCCTCTAATTCTTCACCTCTCTTTCAATTAATTTCAACGAACCAAACATTCTTTAAGTACATACTATGTAT